AGAATAGAATAGAATAGCTTTATTGCCCAGGTATGATTGGACAAACAAGGAATTTGTCTCTAGTGCATAAGCTCTCAGTGTACATACAAATGTAAATAAATAATAAATGGCAAAATATCTAAAACAATCTTTACTATAATGCATAGTAACAAATGTAAATATATACAAATGGTTTTTACAATGCAATAATTACAATGGGAAGTACATGAATTTGGATTACTGTAATTCAGAGGTCTTCAAACCTGGCCCTTTTATGACTTGTGGACTTCAACTCCCAGAATTCCGCAGCCAGGCATACTGGCTGAGGAATTCTGGGAGTTGAAGTCCACAAGTCATAAAAGGGCCAAGTTTGAAGACCCCTGCTGTAATTCATTCTACTGGAGTGGTTCCCCCTTTAAGACCCTTTGTAAACTCCAGCTGGAGCAAAATGCAATGGTCCATTATCCTGTTGGGGGACAGTTACTTCAGTATTATAACATCAATGCTTTGATTCAAGAATTAGTTAAGAGCACACTGAAACTGATTAAAAAATAAGAAGTTAAATGTAAAAATATATGAATAATTGTTATATTGGGGAGACATGCAAAATTGAGCCCTTCAGGGATCCATGTTGGAACCAGTGATTTGTAACTTGTATATAAAATGATCTGACTGTTCATCAAACTGTTCAGGATAATAAAATCAACAAGGGACAAAAAAAAACCTCCACAATGATTTCTGCAAATTAAAGGAATAAACTTAAAAATTGGAAATGCAATGTAAATAAATGAAAAAATATGGAATTTGACTAAATAAACAAGCAAACCCCCAAATTTTGCCTATACATTAATAAATCTGAGCTGGTAGTGATAGATCTGGGAAGGGATCTAGGAGTCACAGTGGATAGCTCAATGAAAATGTCGACTCATTTTGCAGCTGCTATTAAAAAGGCTAATTTAGTGCTTGGAATAATTAGAGATAGAATTATAAACAGTACTAAAACTATAATAATATCCTTATTCAAATCCATGGTCCGACATCACGGGGCATAGTGTGTGCCACTGAATCCTAGGTAGGATTATACAGAGCTAGAAAGAGTGAAATGTTACTATAGCAGCTAAGGTTATTTAGCTTGGAATAAAAGCAGATGAAGGTCCAAAGCCATATAAAATTATGCCTAGTATAAATAAAGTGGAAAGAGAATACCGGTATATTTTCTTTTTTCACCCATAATGCTAAAACCTGAAGTCATCCACTGAAACTAAACACAGGAAGATTCAGGGCCTATGGACAGAAATACTTTTCACAAGGAAGACAGTGAAACTGTGAATTTTAATTAATGTAACAGCAATCAATTCATATTATTTAAAAGAGTGGCTATAATCTTTTGAATCACTGATAGCATACCTTAAATGCTGGTTGCTGTGAAGTGAAAAGGGCTACTACTTCCAGTTTAGGCTGGAGCTTCCCAAATGTAACTAGCTCAATATTTTTCAAATATAGTATCTAAGGTTGGACCCAATAAAGTCATTTTGGGTTTGAAAGTAATTGAATACTCTAAAGCAGGGGTCTTCAAACTTGGCCCTTTTATGACTTGTGGACTTTAACTTCCAGAATTCCTGGCTGAGGAATTCTGGGAGTTGACATCCACAAGTCATAAAAGGGCCAAGTTTGAAGACCCCTGTTCTTTTTTTTTTTAAACAAGCCAATCTTTCCTCCTTTAATTCATGTTATCTTCAGATATTCTAGCAAACAAGATAAAATTGAAGCACTCCTACATAATACACTCTTTCCAGATGATCAAGCCTCTGAATATTCACTGCAGTTTTTTGAGGAACTTACATATTTTAATATTAAGCATGAGATGGATTATAACTTGTCTTTAAAAGAATCACTCAGGTTTAAGCTGAGCAACACCAGTTATAAGCAAGCTTTTTATTTTTGCACTGTAGCGTAGCCAGTGAGACCATGAATGGGTCATGCACCAGTTCAAAGGCAGTGCTTGAAGACCCCTGTTCTAAAGTGACCCTCAGATTCATAAAATGGTAGACTTTGGGGCTTTCTAAATCCAGCCTGTTACTTGACGCAGGAACTCGAGTCAATAAAATTCTAGATGGATTTTCAACTTCTGTTTAAAGAGCTCCAAGGGATCCTTTCCCTCAAGTACTAGTGTAAACTCATTTTTTCATTCTATCAAATATTGTATATATTTATCCTAATAGATCAAGACATGTTTGCTAAATGCATATGACGCATCACTAGCATACCAGCATTTATTTATAAAATGTCTATATGTAATTCATTTTTTTTCAATTATTTTTTTCTGGAACCTGTTTTATAAATTCAGCCATAAATTTAAGAATCCCCGTCCTTAATTTTGCACATCTCAGGCTTTAACTTTGGATGGGGTAAATTGTCCATTAAAAAAAAACAACACATTATTTTTTTGGCGCTTCAAGTCAGTTTTTGACTCCTGGCAACTGACTAGACAAGTCCCTGCAGTTTTCTTGGCAAGGGTTGCCATTGTCTCTTTCCTAGGACTGACAGAGAACAACTGGTCCAAGGTCATCCAGATGCTTTGTGTCCAAAGTGGCATTAGAACTCACAGTCACCTGGTTTCTAGTCTGATGCCTTAACCACTATATCAGGGGTAGGCAACCTTGGCTCTTTTATGACTTGTGGACTTCAACTCCCAGAATTCCTGAGTCAGCCATGCTGGCTCAGGAATTCTGGGAGTTGAAGTCCACGAGTTATAAAAGAGCCAAGGTTGCCTACCCCTGCCTTAACCACTATACCAAACTGGCTCTCATATACTTTTCTATTACAATTTTCCATAACTCAAATTGCAATTTTCTATGGAGATTCTCAATCATCCAGATCATGGTTGTCCCAAAGGTGCTTTTTTCAAACTGGTGAGAAATGGAAGGATTTATTTCAATCCTTCCATTTCCCCATCAGACCATTAGAACTGAAGAAATGTCTTAGATGAGAAGCAAAACATTTTCAAAGGAAAAAAACAACAACCCCAAAATCAAGTTGCCTTTTGAAAAAAAAAAGCACCTTTGGGTTAAATTGCATTAAATTAAAAGTACGGAATGATTCATCTGGCCTGTATGTTTTCTCAAGTATCAAATTTCAACAGCGATTCTGGGTCACCTATTGCTTAAAAATAGTTGGAATGATATTTTCTGCTGCATAGTTAAGGCTTTCTAGCCACTTTAAAGACATGTTATTTTGAAGCAGCATGTAACACAGCTGCTAACTGCAGCAGTTGAGAGGAGTGGCTAGGATCCTTTTGCCCAGGCTTTCAATATGGTTGAATCAGAAAAGTTGTGACTTCACGCTGTCTAGAAGAAATAAATGGTCCCTATACTTTGACAGAACAGCTTGGTTGGAGTTCAGAAAGTGTTGTTTATCTGTTATAAGCCTGCAATTTGCTTTTGTCAACTGCCATTTCCTTCTAATAGTGTACATACTGTCTTTCAATAAAACTGACAAGACACAAAGCATCTGGTATCTATACTTATTCATATTTCTTCACTAGAAAATGAACCAACCTTCTTTTAATAATATGTGTCCCAAATAAATGCTCAAGAATTGTTTCCCACAAACTGTTTTTGAGCTTTACATTCAGTTTCCAAACTGTACAAAGAGGATATATCTCAATTATTTTTTCTCACGATATATACTGTTTTAAAATTGTACTCTATTTTTAATTTAAAATTCAACTTTTTGAAACTTATCAAAGCACAACAATTTATGCAAAGCTAGGCACTATTTAGACTGAATCAGGAATTTCAAACGCAAATAAATGTAGACAGCCACATAACACAAAACACGCTGATCAGCGGGCTGCATTCATACCTAACAAATTAACATTCGCTGATTCTTAATTAATAAAATTAATAAAATAATTAAATCAACATGTCTTTGTTTTTCCTTGAAGATGTTTTGCTTCTCATCCAAGAAACTTTTTCCGTTCTCAGGCTGGTTTTCTTTAGAAGTGAAGAAGCTTCTTGGATGAGAAGCGAAACGTCTTCAAGGACAAAGAAAGTCCAGTTGCCTTTTGAAAAAAAAAACACCTTTGGGACAATCATGACCTGGATGACTGAGAATCTCCATAGACAATTAAATTAACACATTATTATTTGTGATTAACTAAAATTTAAATTAAAGTAGCATTACTGATGGTTAGTAAAAGCAAACAGGTTGCCCGTTATAAAACAGTAAAATATTCTATTTCTGTGAATGTAATCTCTGATGGGCTGTTGTCCCTATTCTCATTAGTGCATTAGTGCCAACTAGCACTAATTTCTGCATTAGTGCCAACTGGCACAGACAAATAATAATCTCACCAGCAACGTTCCCTCTGTCTGCTTATACAGCTATCAGCTGTTGGTGCAGTGCCTGCGTATGAGAAAAAGCAGCAAGGCAGAAGAATGGTAGCAGCAGAGAGCAGGATCTGCAGAGCCACCCCGGGTAGGATTTGGGTTCTGGCAGAAGCTTAAATTTTTGAGCTGTTATGGACACATATTGCCACACACTGTCCATGCATAAAAGAGAAGGCAACAGAACAGACAGGCTCTGGCAGCATTCAGTTTGTGAAAAGTCGTAAGCTGTATGAAAAAACTTCAATAGGCTACAAATTTGAAATATATGCCTAAAATAGATTAAAAACTGCCCATACGAGAATAAAAATAGTAAAAAACAATGTCATATCTCAGTTTAGTTGCCATGTTCTAATGATTACCTACTTACTTTCAACGAAGCACAGATTACATTCAGAGCTTCCTTGATCTGAGGATGATGGGTTTCATGTAGTAGTTCTTCACAGATCCAAATGCCGAGGCTACAAATAGCAACACATCTACAAAACAAGTTACAGCCATATTAAACTAACTGTACCTGATAAAAATCAAGGAGTGAAAAGCCGTGCTATTTTATGTTTTCTTACACGGAGTTAGATCTTATGCACTGACATGCCTTCCAAGTAAATAGGTTTTGATTAAGGAAAGTTTCCATAAACATATCAGGGGAAGGAAACTAATGTCACAAGTTCTCTCATTAACACTCCAAACTATCATTTGTTCTGTTTCAATGGTTACACTGATCCTTTAAAACTGGGGAGGAGAAACTAATTGTTCTGATTATGGAAACTTTCAATCCATTGCGCTTACTATTTGTAAAAGGCTAGTTTTGGATACATTTTTTAAAAATTAAAACATTGTGGCAGACTATTTAGTGAAGCAAATGCCAACATATATTCACTGTATATTAGTATTTTCTTCACTAAATATTCTGCTACAACTTTTAACACTATGTATTTTTGCTACTAAGAAATGGTAAAAAAAAATCATAATATATTATTTAAAAATTTAACCAAATACCTGAATTAACCAATTCACAAAATGCTTTGGAACATTCCTTGTTTATCCATACCTTGCAGGTCCCGATGGCTCCTCTTTTGCAGAGCTTAATATTGTTTTGATAACCAGTTCCTAAAGTAAGAAGATTCAAGATAAGTTATCTCTAAACAGCTTAATGTAATATAAAAAAAAAATCAGTAATTTACACATCTCAAAAATGGAAAATTGATTTATACTTTTAAGTCTTTCAGCTGCATATGTATGCTGATAATTTGGGTCATCTACCTTCCACTCTGTATCCCAATTGGACCTTTTAGTTTTTTTCCCCTTGAAAACATTTTGCTTCTTATCCAAGAAGCTTCTTTACTCCTGGCTGAATGGTGGGGAATGGAAGGATTTATATTCCTTGCAGTCATCAGGTCATTAGCACTCTGAAGGTCAGTCATTAGCTCTCTAAGAATCATTGAGGCTACATTGGGAGGTTATCCATACCCGCAGTCACCTGAATCAGAGCGCAAATGGATGTGGAACCTTCTTGGGACTGCTGAAAGGACTGTGTTGTAGACAGGAGATAGGTGGTATAATATCCTCCCCCTCCGTTGAGAGAGGGCTGCTCAATTTTAACATAGATGATTTCTTTTACCCCTCTTTCAAACCAATAGTCTTCTCTGTCCAGAATGTGGACTTTGCGGTCTTCGAAAGAGTGACGTTTGTCTTCCAAATTCGGATGGGCTGCTGAATCTTGTCCTGACGGGTTTGTCCTGTGTTGTGTCATGCATTTGTGAAGTGGTTGTTTTGTTTCTCCGATGCATAGATGTGCACACATCTCACAACATTGTACTGCATATTTCACATTGCCCAGTTTATGTCTGGGTGTTTTATCCTTGGGGTGGACAAGCTTCTGCCTTAGTGTATTTTTGGATTTAAATATTGCATGTTGTGTTGGTAGAAAATCCTATGTTTTTTAGATATTCCTGCAACACACTGAATGACAACGTTATTTTGTCTGTTGCTCTCTTCTTTGTCTGTTAGGGAGGAATTCACACTGGATTTTTTTTCCCTGCATTTGATGAAGGCCCAGTTGTGATAGCCACAAGTTCTGAGGGCTTCCTTGATGTGTTTTAGTTCTTTTTCTTTTTTCTCTTTGCTGGTAGGCAAAGCTGGTGGTATACAGAGTTCTGATCACTCCCATTTTGTACTCTGGGGATAGTGAGAATTAAAACGTAAATTCCGATCTCTGTGTGTTGGCTTTCTGTATACTTCAATGTTGAGGCTTCTGTCTTGATGAGAAGTGAAACCTTTTCAAGAAAAAACTAAGAAAGTCCAGTTGCCTTTTGAAAAGCACCTTTGGGACAACCATGACCTGGATGATTGAGAATCTCCATACACACTTTCACTGTTTACTTATTTCTTCATATAATGAGGCCCTCCCAGCCAATACCTTTCCTCTTTAAAACTAATTTTAAAATATTTTTGTTTAAAGTGTTCTGGAATGAGTTAAGCTTAATATTCTCTAGTACAGGGCTTTTCAACCTTTTCACCCATTGTACCACTTTTAGGCTATGGCAACATCCGAGTACCACCAGTCGCCTAGCAAGGTGTCAAAAACTTGATGATCCCCCCCCAAAAAGGAAAAAAGTGATAAAATACAGGTAGTCCTCGACCTACAACAGTTCCCTTAGTGACTGTTCTTTCAATATAAAATTTTTATTGTTTTCCAAAAAAGAAAAAAAACATCACAAGTATTACACAATATTATAATATATCCCACCCCCCCGGACTTCCCAAACCAAATCCNAGGCTAATATTCAAATATAGGTAAACAAATATTAATATCTCTAACTCCACAAACTCTATTTATAAACAATCCATCTCCTCCACATTAATAAAAAAATTATACATTTAAGTAATTCAAATACACCAAAGTCTATATCAATTCAGCAGGTATCACCAGTAGCTCTGAGACTGTTCGAAGTTACAATGGCACTGAAAAAAGTGCCACCCAAGCCACAGCCGAGCAAGACACCTGCCTGCCCGCCCAGCGGCTCTCTTCCTCCTGTCCGAGATTTTAATTGTTGTAAGCATTTCTGTTGAGGATTGGAAGCAGGGATGGGGTGGGGGGGTGTTTGGTTTTTATTCCCCCCATCTGCTGGGTGGTTGCAGCAGGTTTTGATCACTTCACATGACTCGGGACACTGTGACTGTCATAAATATGAATCAGTTGCCAAGCATCTGAATGTAAAGCACAAGACCCTGGAGATGCTGCAACATTCCAGCTGATCGGTGCTTCTTCTGGGCTCAGCAGAAGCACCAGGATCAGCGCTGAGCTCCAGCTGGAGCCTGTCACTGATCCTGGCGCTTCCACTGAAGCCTGACAGCCCTGCAGCTCCAGCCGTCTCTCGCTCAGGCTTGTGCGGTGTTGCCACCGGTTCAGCTTATTCCCCTCCCCTGCTACCACTTTTCTAGGATGGTCGCATACCACTTGCCAGGTGCCAATGTACCACAGGTGGTACCCGTACCATTGGTTGAAAAGCCCTGCTCTAGTAGTGAGAAAGAGGAAGAGAGTAAAGGCTTCAATTTCCTGCTTACATGGGAGAAATTACCATAATAATTTGAATTTGTATTTAATTTTATTTAAATAATTTTAACATAATAAGCTACTTAATATTGTCATATAAATAGCCCGAGATCAGAAATACTAACTATTTTTTTTATTAATCTTAATTTTGATTTACCGACAGCAGAAACTTGATACATGAATATGATAAAACTGGTTTCTTTTAATAAACCATCACTATCCACAGCTTAACATTCAGATATATTACTCCATTTCCAAACTCTTTTTCATAACCGTACCAAACTAATAGAGGGAAGGGGGAGGGGACCTGTATATTTTGCTAGCTAATAATTTCCATGATATTTCTTAGAACTTGTTCCTTGGTGCCTACCAGAGTTTAAGTTACCTGTCTTTTTAAAAATATTTTTAATTAAGAAAATGGAAAGCTAATATGATGGAAAGAAAAAGTCCACCTCAGTCATTATAATCTCCAAAAATGCCTCTTGGTCATATAGTGGCTATAGTGGAAGTATTCTTATTTATGTTTTAAAAAAGTAAAAGGCACACTAAAGTGGTGGAGGGCAAGTTAAGAAACTAGAAATGATGAGAAACAATCTTAATAATGATACTTTCTGATATATGAATGCGTTATGACTGACCATGCTCCTCATGGCATTCATTTTAAAAGAGTATCCACATCTACACAAATTCAAAATGTGCACATGGGCCAAAGAGTTTGGGAATCCCTGCCCTAGACACCTCTTTTAAGGAATTTCAATTAGTTTCCTTTTTTTTTTTTTCCTGGAGAAGTGACCTGAATGAGAAGCTGAAAGAAACATGAGGGATTTGACTGTATTGTTTGGGAACTTTAGTGAACAGCACAATTAAGAAAAAATGCCTATTCTTTCTATTTTCCTCTTTAAATTTAACAATTTTATTCCTGGAAATTGCTTGGTCCACGTTAGTCCATAATTCTGACAAATTATGCATCTGCATAATTATCTTTTTTTCTTAGTTGCACAGGACTTTAAACGTTAAACGAACATTTCCCAAATGGCAGAAATTTGCAAAATCTGTGGCATAATCTGTGTAGATCAATAAAAATAAAATGATGGTAGGCCGCCATCAGAAGATGAACTTGAAAAGGCTTTATTTCCAGGAGATAAAGTCTAAGCTTCTCTGCCCAGGACTCCCTTCTTTATTCCAGTTCTAGGAAAATTAGAAAGCAGGATGTTTGGCTCTGCCCACCTAAGGCCCAGAATTAAAGGATGTTAAAATCCTGTTCCTGTCCTGAAACACATCGGGTACCTATGCAGTCATGTATATACGTATATATGCAGGGGACATTTCAAGGAACAAAAAAAAAAGTGGAATCAGTCTAATAAATCAGACCTCGACTTACTCTGCTATGTGGAGAGAACACTGAAATTGGGGCTTTTGAGCTTGAAACAAAGGTAGTTTTGGACAGATATAACCGATGTATGGCATACATAACCCATAATGGGATTTATTTCTCTCTCATACAATATTACAACTTAAGATCATCTACTGAAACTATATTTTTTTATTTTTATTTATTATTTAAATTTATATACCACCCTATCTGCCTTACGGGACTCAGGGCGGTGAACAGGCGATAATAGAAATCACAATAAATATTAAATAAAAAGCCTGCTCTAAAATACCCCATATAAAAACCCCTACCAAAACACAATCAAAACTATGCAGGGAGGATGGGTAGAAGGAAGTACTTTGTCTCTCAATGGATATTTTAAACTGTGGATTTTGCTGCCAGCAGTTCGGCCTGCTATATTGGTAATGACAAGTAATGTAGATGTTTTTAAAGGGGCTGGATAGCTTTACAGAGAATTAGGCAATCACGGTTACTAATGCTAAGTCTTTGAATCAAAAGAATACGCTTTAAATACTGGCCACTGTGAAGTGACAGTGGAAGGGTACTATCCAATCCTGGTTTAAGAACTTGCAAATGCATCCAGCTGGCGCCATATACCATAAAATGTTATACAATGAGCCTGTATTCCAGCAGCATTCTTCATATGTTGTTCTGTCACATTTAGGTAGCTACATGGCCACAAAAAATAATTTATACTGCAGAAGATATAAAAATAACACACAGATTTCAAAACCTACCTTTACTTCTGTAAACTGAGACACAACAATATCAGGAGTGTTTGGGTGTAATGCTGGTAATTCACAATATAAATTGGGAAAACACACCAGAGAGCCTAACAGAACTTGTGCTTCTACTCTTGGAGCCTGAGTAACAAATAACAATATGAAATATTAGTAACATTTAAATTAGTATTTAATCACAAACAAAACTAAATAAAAGCATTTATTTTTTATATTAATTTCATTATTTTGCTTCCCTTAGTCTCTTCTGCTTTCTTATTTTGTATTCTTAAGCTATCCATCTGCTGTCTCTCGCGTTGGATACCTTATACTGAATGCTCCCTGCTATCATTTTAGAAAATATCGTTTTGTAAAAAACTGTTTGCCAGTTTAAATTAAAAGGCAGCCTAACTTGTAAAACAGTTCAGCAACTTTATTGCGGAAGGCATAATCAGCTTTATATATTGAATTATAATAAAAGGATTATGTAATTACTTTGTACATAATATACTAGGTTGCTGATAGTGTAACAAGCTTCTTGCTATGAAGAATTGTAACTAATAAACTTCGCAATTTACAATAACTTTTATTCTTATAGAAAAATTAATATTAAATAGCAACCATTGAAAAAGAATCAACTTACATTGAGAAAAGATGATGCTGCTACTCTGCCAGCAGCTACAATGAAATCCATTATCAGCATGGTAGCACCAGGCAAACCAAGGGAAAAAAACTGTGGAGAACAGTGCTTTATGATTGTATTAACAATGTCCTTGAAGGAAAAGAAACACAAGATTCAGATTGTCTATCAAGGAAACTGTAGATAATGTGCTAAATATAAAATACAGGGAAGTATCAGAATGGAACGAACCTAGTTTTTAAAAAAATGTTTCATATTAACTATACTTTAATATAAATAGTCTTAATTTAGTGACCACAATTGGGACTGGTAACCTGGTTGTTAAGTGAAGCAATTGCTAAGTGAAACTGTGACAGCACTCATGGTCTTATTTCAGCTTTCGTTGCTTTACAGACCTGCAAAAGTTGTAAATGTGAGCACTGGTCACAAAGTTACTTTATCATTGTTGTAACTGTGAACAGTCGCTAAATGAAGAAATAATTAATTGGGGACTATCTGTGTGTCATCCAAATTATGATCAATTTTAATTATTGGTTCATTCAATCAGTTCATAACGTTTTGTCTTGTTTTCAAAAAAATCGCAATTATCAGATTTGGGTGAATTAACTGAAATTGAAAAAGTCTACAAAACAACCTAGAGGATAGAGAAAGATAGGAGCAGAAAGCTTAGGACAACTTAAGTACACTCTCAAATCCAAGTTCTGCCAGTCTGACAACATAAAGGTTATTTTTGGCTTAGAACCACAATTGGGACTGGATTTCTGGTTGTAAGTCATTATAATCGTAAGTATGACATTGAGGCCAGACCTGATTTTATAACATTTTTTGCGGTGTTTATTAGATGAATCTGTGGTCATTAAGCAAAAGCGTGGTCCTAAGTGCAAACTCATTCTTCCATATCAAGCAAAAATGTTGGAAACCAGCAAAAAACAGCTGAAAAGTATAGTTGGCACTGAGTGGTATGGAACTTACAGCCTTAACTAATGTCTCCTTTACTCATGCTTTTCAACTTATGCTGCTGTATATGATTTAGGATACCAAAATCTTGCTCTGCCTTGATTTTAGTCACTAAGAATTTGTTTACTTTTCCATCTCTTTAATAGATAAAGTTAAAATTTAGACAAATCTATGTATGGTTCTCCAACAAGCAAGCACATTTTATCTTAGATAGAATTATGGTGTCCCATTAAAATATTCTTTCAAAATATATAATTCACTAAATAAGAAAAAAAAATAGGAGATTCAAATTGGAATTTACATTTTTTGTTCATGAAATCATTTTCATTAAGCTGGATATATTTTAAGAACAAGGTAACATTTTTCCAACCATATATAGCAAAAATAAATCTAGAACTTTTCCTACAAATGATGTTTACTTAGGAATAGGGATGTAATATCATGTTATATAAAATATATAAAAGCACAATTTATTTTCAAAATATAAAGTCTCTAATAACTCTCTAAAACAAGATTTAGTCTGAATAATATTACAGGAACCAGTGTTTCGTTTTTGCTAATGACCCTTAGATTTCTGGGAAGGCAACTTATTCATCAGTATGATAAATTCTTGGCAATTATGCTGAAAATGCTGCTTTACCAGAACTGTTATAAAATGGTAATTAGATTGTTTAGCAAGAAATAGAAAGAGTATGTATGAGATAAAAACTTGCAACTAAATTATTTGTCAGTCAAATTCTGAGTAGATTGCCTAGACCAGAGGTCCCCAGCCTTTGGGGCACCAGGGACTGGTTCTGTGGAGAAAGGTTTTTTTGCGGGCTGGAGAGTGCGTGGTTTTGTGTGCTGCCTGCATCTCGCAGATGGGACTTTGCTTGTTTGTGCGGCCCAGTTGCTGGCATGCCGCGGCCCAGTACTGGTCCATGGACCGGGGGTTTGGGAACCCCTGGCCTAGAACACTTGTAGAACTATAAAGCAGTTCCTTCAGACAAACGTTGTTTATAGCCATACTGTTTTACACTGTAGATGTGACTCAAACAATTACATATTTTTTGGGGTTTTTAAAAACTCTTTAATATAGACAATGAAATATCAATGAGAATACATGTCCAGTATCTTTCTCTCTGTCATCTAGTTTTATACACAAGCTTCTTTTTCTGGTATAGAAATCACATCCACAATTCAAAATAGCGCACCTAAAACAAAGATGCACCACTTCAACTTTTTTGTCTGGTAACTGGATGGCATCCACCAATATAACAGATTTCTCTTCTCATTTCCATTTCTCTGAAGAACTGGAGAGCTTTTCAGAACATTGGGAGAGCACCATGGAGTACATTTGGCACATGCAAACAGATGTATTGAGCAGGAAGAACAAGGGAAAGCCCTGATGTTCAAGTTTAAGTCTGTGTAATAGCAGACAATGTCCTCAGCTTGTCCAGTGTCAAGAAAACTAATCTAAACTATTTTTTTTCAAAATGTGTTCTCAAACAAATCTAGGATTTGTTAAAACGTTTTTGGTGATTCCTAAATAATTTAGACAATGACAAGGAAACATCCTGGAAAAAAAATGCCCATTTTTTCTGAGCTTTCCCCTGAAACATAAACCTGCAAAAATGAGTTGGAAGAGAAGTAGAATATATTTTCAGCAGCAGGAGCTGAGTAGTATTTGGATGTTACAAAAAGGCTTTTTATGGAGGCCTTAATTACAGAGATAATGACTGCCTGTAAACTCCGCAAAAGAGGAAATTAGATATTTTGTTAGGAAGGTAAGGTGAGGTAGAAACCCTTACCTGATCAACGTGAAGCAGTCCACAATGCATTATATTGTAAAAATGAGTTAAAAAGTCCCTGTTTGGAGAAACATCTTGTCTTCGTTTCATTGTATTACAAATGAGCTTATAAGCATGCAATTTGCCTTGTTTGTACTTGTCACTCAACATGGTTGCCTAATATTAAAAAGGAAAGCCAAAATATTAACACAGTTCTATCACATCGTTTTTTTTAAAAAAAAAATCAAAAATCAAATGATAATTAAAATTACCTTAAAAAGCCATGGAGTAAGTATTCTCAATGGAGGAATTAAGACTGGTGGAGATGGTGATATCATATTATCAATTGAAATTCCAAGATTATCTCTAATCTGAAAATATTACAAAGTGTAACAAACACTTATATGAGTAAGATATTGTTGAAATAATTCTTTTAAAGTATTTTCAGTTTGAAATTCTCTCCGTACCTTAGCAAGATTTTGCCACAGTTCACAAAGGTAATCAAAAACCTGAGCATGTATTTCAGGGTCCATTATGCAATTGACATCTCCTAAAATTCCTAGCATCCGTCTCCACATTACAGTAGCTACATCTGCATGCCAGCCAGTCAGGGTTCCTCCTGCCATCACACTGCAACATTCAGATGGAAAATCACTGGTTTCTGTAGGAAGAAAAAAACACATTATCAGGCATCTGTTCTTTTTTGTGAAGAGAGTCAAAGCAAAGAAATATGCTATGAAACTTAATTTGTACAAGTATTTGTTAGATTAGATTGGAGAAATGCTTAACCTAACACAAAAAAATAAAGGAACACTACTTTTTTCCCCCCTTGGCATTCTCTTCCCAAATATTTTCCCAGTGTAACCTCTCTTCTTACCTCCAAAAACAGTTTTGAAGTAGAGGGAGTTTAAAAAGCAAACTGAGAATTCTATGGAACACTAGCCTTAGAACAAATTCAGAAAAATGAAGGCACTGCATTTATGGGCACACCTGAAATGTAGTCCATCTTTTTACAATAAATGTGTTGCATTTATCTAGAAAATAAACTTCTAGTTAACACTGAAGCCAAGGCGTATGCATTGGATCATGCTTCCTCTTTTGTCATAATATTATATAAACCTGTTTTGTATATGATGGCATGCATCTGGTGCAAAAATCATATTGTATGCATTATATCCTGAACCATGGTATAATGTTACATTAATGCCCACTGCAACTACTGGCTTCTATATTTTGCAGCAGCATAGCTGGAAAATGCCCAAATGTAAAACTATAGGCTATATCCACCAAGAACTACCTAGAATCATAGTAACTTCTTACATTAGGCTTTCTTAGGGCCACACACTGCTGTCTATTCCAGCTAAAATTAGCAAACATAGAATAGACAATTTATTAGCCACACTAATCTGGAGGAAAGCTGGAGAAGTGGGACAATTAATATAAGAAAAAACACATTTTTACATGACAGTTCGTGATAGAAAGATAATTCTACTGTTGTAAACTATCTTGAGTTTACACAATTAGATTTATGAATGGGTTATGTAGCTTCAGTCAATCATTAACTGAAAAATAAAGATCTGCTTTATTTAAGAGAATAAAGCCTCTTTGTTATTGATACAACTTCAAAAAAATGGCCCCAAATACAAGCTTTTTGAAAATACGCTGTACTAAATAAGAAATGAAAGAAAAGGTAGTCTTAAGTTTGCTATTCAAGACATTGCCTAGATCATCCGGTGTCTGTAAAACAGAGTGGTGGAGCTTCTCATCCAATTGCAGGTCCTTTTGTTCATTGTGATCTGCACTCAAAGTAGCAGGTGATGGAGTCTGGGACCGTGATCCAAGAGCAGACTGAACTGGTGAAGCACTTTCGGAACCTGTGAAAAATTTTTAGCTATCAGAATAAGATGTATAGTTATATAATACTTATTCTGATTTGTAAATACATCAACATGCTTTTTAATATTGATGTAATACTGTACTTAGTAATGATAAAAGCTAAATATTTATCAAAATAACAGTATTTCAAGATGGTACTCATTATATTGAATTAGCAAATTTCAATTAAGCTAATTTAAAAGTTATAAATATTTTACTTCACTGATAATTTTCTACACTTTTGTACAGTTAGGGTTCTTACAATTAGTAGAAACAAAACAGTAGAGGAAATATAGAGAAAAAGATGATAGAAATTAAACTATGGTAATGTTCAAGTAAGATCACAGATGATAGAGATGAGTGTTGAGGGAGGACTTCCCATCTTGGAGGTGTGCCCATCTGAGATTTCCAGACCTGATCCAAGTAACTGATGGCTTAATATACATCAGTGGTCATACTCTGGTTCTGATTTTCTCTTGGAGCAATGGCAACAGGATCTGAAGTTGGGGGAAGATTTCCATTACTTTAAATCTACATGGTCAGATTACTTTTTGACCTTGGAGTATCCTATGGCTGCTCCCTGCTTTAGGAAGGAATGGGATGGGGAAGTGCATCCATTCTTGCTCTCTTTATCCTCTCAGAAGCCTTCTGCATTCTTCTGTACTGGCTTTAACAGTTAGATGCTGGGGACATAGTATTATGCTGATTCTCCTCTTTCCACTGAGATCAGTTCCAGTTAGTGTTATGGGAGATGGGAAAGGGGGAGGGGTCTGCCTTACAAATCTTCTTGACTGGGAGTGCCTTAAGAACTCAACACTCTACCTATATCCATTTAATATCTATATGAAGCTTTTGGGTGAGGTCACTCTATGGCACAGAGTGAGCTGTCATCAATAAACTGACAATATTTAGCAATATATCTCTGCTCCAGGCCAATAAATAATGCTTTTGTCAGTGCCTGGAGGTTATGGAATGGAATGGGGGCATTCCGGACGGGGAAAACAGATTTCAACTCAAGCCTAGCAGGATGGAGGGGCTTTGGATTTTAGGACTCCTGGAACGAACTACCCCCCGAGATCCGGATGATTCCGGATCTCCTTACTTTCCGCCGCGCCCTCAAGACATGGCTTTTCCAGCAAGCGGGCCTGACCTAGGGAGGATTTTAGGTAGGGATGATTTTAAGAAAATTTTAATTGACACACAGCTTCGAATATTTGGCTTTTAATTTGGTTTTATGGGGTTTTTTTGTTCTT